CTCCACTTTGTGGGAAAACAGCTTCTTTTGCCAATCCTGTCCTGTGAAACAGTTGAACTGCTCCTTTTTTGTTTTTGAGACGCTGGAAACTAAACCCCAGCCCCAGGCACTGACCCAGGCTGGAAAATCTTCAGTGCAAACAGTTGGAGTTTGGAAGCAGCAAAGCAGAGGTGAGGGGAAGTGTGCAAGGCAGGGCTGGGGAGATGTTCCCGCCAGCTCTTCTGAACACACATGCTTCTGGTGGCTGCCTAAATGGCTTTGGGACACATGGTGAGCTCCTTTCTGTCAGGGAGGTCTGACCCCTCTGGACCTGAGAACTGCCCTCCAGCAGCACAGGCACCCGACCTGTGTCTGGCAAGCCAGGCCCAGGCAAGCTCCAACAGCACAGGAACTGTCTCCTGCTCAAGAAAAACCCCAGGCTCTGTCGACAGAAGGATTTGGAAGGCAGCTCCACAGCTTGCTGAACATCATGTCAAAGCCCTAAAAGCCTGTAGTATTTTTATTGCAGAGAGGACTAAAAACCATGGATGGGAACCACACAGCAAGTCACAGGCTGAGGGACTGTCATGGAGCAGGGTCCTCACCAATGTTTCTGACCTCAGTTGTCTTGGCATTCTGAACCCAGTTGTCCATCTTTGACCCCAAAATAACAACACACTGTTTGGGAGATGATGAATGTTGGGACCAGACTCTGACTTGTCTTTGGCAGGGCCAAGAGCTGGACACACCTACAGGAAACAAGCCCTGCTCTGAAGGACTGAACTTCTCCATGACTGGGAGAAGAAACAGCAGCACCAAGAGGTGCACAGGTGACCCAAGGCCACACCACCAGCATGGATGGCATCCTCAGGGCTTGCCAGGGCCAGCTCTTTGCCCGATTAAGAAATACCACATCTAGAAATGCCACAGGGGACAGACTGCAAAGAAGCTTCTAGTATTGCCACCTCCAGCAGAGCCGCTTGGTAGGAAAACAGTGCTGATATTTGTGTTTTAAAAGCTAAGTGCTCTGTGGCCAGAGCGTGTTTCCAAGGAAAGGGGAATATCTAATCACCTCTGGAGAGCAACCAGGACTGCAGCTTGCTGTCTGTAGCCATCATGATTTCTTACAGTATCACTCTGTTTCCATTCCTCCTCTCCTGGGATGGCTGGAGCTGAAGAGGACGTGTGTGTGTGTTTTGTGTCAGCCTTGAAATGCTGGGCCTGGCTGGGCAGCAGGTGCTGCTGGAGCCCTGAGGGTGGAACTGTGGGATGGTTGTGGGGATTGATACGGGAGCAGGAACACCCAGTGGGAGAAAGGAGAAGGGAATGAGCTGTGGGAGCAGGAATTGGGTTTGCTCAAAGCTGGAGCCCCCCAGCTGGGGATGCCTGTCACCCAGGGGCTGTCACCAGGGGTGCCCCAGGTTCTTCCTGTGGATGCAGAAGCTGGGAGCAATGATCCCTGGTGTAGCTCAGCTCCCCACGCTGCCCCAGCCTGGTGCTGAGGAGAAGGGATCTGCTTCAGATCCAGGTCAGCAAAGCAGGGCTGGGGGGGAACAGGAGCCTCAGGCCACGCTGAGTGATGGGGGCACCAGCCAGAGCATGAGCTGCGTGCTCACCCAACAAGGCAAGATCTCATCACCCCTGCTCTGCTGACCAACTGCAGCTTGTAAGCAGGGATCTGGGCAGGATGAAGATCTCCTGAGCCTTTGGGCTACTTTTTTTATCCACAAAACCACACAAAAGGTTTAAAGCCCAACTGGACTAAACCCAGCTTTGTCTTCTGGAGTCCCCAGCGCTGATCCCTCCATGAGCACAGGTGCTGGTGGTGCAAAGCTGCCCCTGGATGGGACCCTCTGAGCTTGGGGTTTGGAGGGAGATGGCATATGGCTCTGATTCCTTTCCTTACCACATAAAGGGCATTTATTCTCCAGGAGGGCAAATTCCTAGGGAGATTCTGAGTCACCAGGATAATGGGGTGAAAACCAACCAAAATTCCGCAAATGAGAGAAAGAAAAAACCTGCAATTCTATGTAGGAACCATCATGTCAGATTGAAGGGACTGAGATGCAGGAAGCCCAGGTTGAAGCCCCAGGTCTGCCCTGGCTGTGCAGAAGCCATCAGAGAACAACAATCTCATGCACTTCACCTGCTGCCCTTCCCACAGAATTCCAGCAGCAGTATCAGCAGGGATGGCTGACATGACCCTCCACGTAGGGGCACAGGGACCACAGGCACCTCTGGGTGAGGGCAGACAGTTCTTTTACTTGTTTGGTTTCTTTTCATTTCCATAGTGCCACCAGAAATATTGGAAAGGCCACCAGGGAGCACCTACTGTATTGTCTGTAACTGAGATTTCAGCCTAGCCATGTTTTCATTTTCAAAGCACAAGCAACAGCAAAAATTCCTAAAAGGCAGTAAAATGAGAGTAGATGGTTTCATCCACACCTGACCCTTGGCCATTCTGGAGCAAAGCAGAGAACATTTTCTAGGGGGAAAAAAGGTTGTGGTTTGTTGGGTTAATTTTTTTGTTGGTGGTTTTTTTTTTTTTAGATGGGATAAAAGGTGTTTCTTACCTTTCAATCCCAGATCCACTCATTGGAAAACCATGTTCTCTCTCCAGGCCAGACCAACTGGGTGTGGAGATGTTAGTGTAACTTGGTGACCTGCATGTTGCAAACACTCAGTGACGATTATAAAGCTCCTGACTGGCTCAAACCCTGTGACTGTTACACATCTTGGCCCAAGAAACACAGAGGATTGCTCTTCAAAACTGAACCACAGGCATCTCCTTGGGCCCTTTAATCATAATTGAGTTTTTCAGGACAGCACCCTGTACTTGCAGGCCTTCCTGAAGCCTGGCTCTGGAATGACTCGGAAGCAGAAGCCTCCTGCTTCAACAACACTTTTTGCCTCTGAAAGCAAAAGCTGGGGGGTTTTATGAGCCTTTTCAGGTTCCTCTTTTCAGGTTCCTCTCTCAGCTAAAGGTTGACCAAATTACTTAGTTTTGCACAAACCCTTCCCACTCACATGCACCTTGGGTGCTTTTTGCACAATAAACCTGTATTTCACAAGCTGTCCTTGCTCTTGCAAGGAAGAATATTGTTGCTGTGAGAAAAGCCACAAAACTATCAAATACCTTTGCAATTAGCTGCACTGTAGCACAGTTTCAATCATAAGTGAATTGTTTCAAACAGATTTTGAGCATTCATGTTTTGTTTTGTACTTTATTGCAGAGAAGACCGGATGCATTTTTAAAACAAATCCAGAGTTGCAGCTTCCAGACATTTCTATGAAGTTGCCCACAGCACAAAGGAGTCGATCAGCCCAACACTGAGAGGGAACTCAATCCTGTCATTGCTTGAGAGAGTCAAGAAAATCTTGCAACTGGTTATTTAAGAGCTGTGTAAAACAGGTTTTGCTGCTGCAAGCACCTCTGCCTGCAGAACGGGGTAACCGTGTCCTGATTTACACCAGTGCAACCTGAGTCCAGAAGTTGGGCTTGTACAGTGAAAGCAGCCAGTGAAGATTTGGTGTCAGGGTGATACACACCTGGTGGCAGATTTGTGACATTCCCTGAAGGGTTTTATTCAGGATCAGACCAGAGAATCTCCCATCCCAGGTGTTACTGTGTCTTTGGATGGATGCACAACTGTGCTGCCCAGTCCCTCTCCACATGGGAAAGAAATCCTGGTGTGAAAATGCATCCAGTCATACCAGGCACTACCTACCCCAGGAAACTGGAACAGAGTCTTTGTCTACCCTGGCTCCTGCTGTGCTTGGAAGCATCCCAGTGGGATGCAGCCCCAGGCAGGCTAAGGGTTGGCCACAGCCCCGTGGTGGGATCACAACACACTTGGCAGTGGCTAGAAATGTTCTTCAGTGTATCAGTTAACAAAGATAATGCATTTTCCTAGTGAGACAATCCACAATATTTGCTTTTTGAGAGACACTGGCTGCATCAGCAATTTGAACATTACAATGTGAGATAAAAATCTCCAACTTTATTTCCTGTCAAATGCATTTCCTTCTTGCAGACATACCCCAACACTGAGGCCTTCTCTCTTGGCCACCACGGTGTGATATTAAATACAGTTCAAACTCCTGATGCAAACCCAGAGCTTGTCTGAGGACACAGCCTGGATGGGCTTGCACACCACACATGAGCATAGAAAGCCTTAAAGCTCTGAGATCTGCTTCTTCCCTTCTACACCTTTTCAAAGCTTCACTGACACAAAAAGCAGTGGCAGCTTTGAAGACCTGTCTGTCACTCGGGCTCAAACTCTCATGATGGCAAAGCAGAGGGGAGTCAGCAGTTCCCCATGTGGCTGCAGAGCAGGGTGGCTCAGTGTGTCCAAGGCATGTGCTGCAGAAGAGCTGTTCCTCTGAAGGCTGTTTGATGTTTAAATGCTGATGTGCAGGGTGCTGGAAGGCAGTTTGCTTCCCTGCTTCCCTGTGCCAGCTGTGCGAGAGCCCAACACCTACTGGGGTGAATGGGAACCTTGGGAAAAGTGACTGACTGAGGAAAAGCCTCAGAAACTGGAGGCTTCTGTGTAAAGTCAGAGTGGGGACAAGGGTCAAGGTGAGTTCACCCCACCCACCATGTGCTGGGAGGAGATGCCTGGGGAGCAGGGGTGACTGATCATTCATCGGTCGCTTGGCCCAGGGTGCAGGGCCCAGCTCAGGGGGTGTGCGTGTGTGACCTGCTGACTCCACCTTCCCACCAGGTGAGACCAGAGCTCAGGGGGCTCTGGGAGGCCATCCCAAAGTGATGTGCTTCTGACACAGGCTAAATTACAATCCGTGCTGAGTCAGCGTTACAATCCGCGCCGAGTGAACAGGCCTGAGGCCCGTGAAGGTCTGAAGCTCTGACAACCATTCCCTTCCAGAAGGAAAGAGAAAATCATCCATGAAGTGGTCATGAGGCACAAATGATTCTTCCCAACAAATCCCCACAGGCTTCCCCCTTGCAATAACTAAAATACACTACCTGGCGTGTCACAAGGACAACAAGTAATTGACATTTAAGGCAACCTCATCTCCACAGCCCCCCCGTGACCCCCCCTGAGCAGGTCGCCCTTCTCTTCCTTCTCCAGGAAGGGCTTCTTGCAGGTGAACATGACGAGCAGCAGCAGGGGCAGGTGCCACAGGCTGCAGAAGAAGAGCTTCCTGGAGCTGCCACGGTCTGCGTCCCTGTAGAAGCGGAAGGCGAGGTAGGAGATGTAGAGGTTAATGGGGAGGGAAATGATGGGGAAAGTCCAGGTGGTGACGTCAAGAAGAGGAGCCAGCGCGGAGAGTCCCAGCAGGGCCAGGCAGTGGCGCAGGGCCACCCGCCGGCACAGCCCCGGGTGGGTCACAGACATCATGCAGTACCCTCCTCGCGAGTAATCCTCCCGCAGGGCCCAGCTCAGGGCGTTGAAGTGAGGGAACTGCCAGGAGTAGAGGATTCCTCCCAGCAGCAACGCACCTGCAGGAGGGGAGGGGAGGAAACAGGCATGAGAAGGGCACTGCGGGGAGGGCGACCTGGGTGGAAACTCTTCATGGTGAGGGTGGTGAGAGCCTGGCCCAGGCTGCCCAGGGAAGCTGTGGCTGCCCCATCCCTGGCAGTGTTGAAGGGCAGGTTGGATGGGGCTTGGAGCAGCCTGGGCTGGTGGGAGGTGTCCCTGCCCATGCAGGGAGTGGGACTGGATGGTCTTCAAGGTCCCTTCCAACCCAAACCATTCCATGATGTTATGAAGACCAGGGCTGTATCTGCACTACCAGCCTGTTCCACCCTGCTGTGCAGAAGCCAAGGCATGCTCTGGATGATAAGGCACACTCTGCTTTTAATGGAGTTTACAGAGGGCTGCACACGGCGGTTCTTCTGGTTTTGGAGAAGTTAATTTGAAAAGCATTTCAACAAGTCAGTTCCTCCTAATGAACCATCACTAATTGGTTTCTGCACCAATTCAGTCTTTACCTG